AGTCAGTCATTGAGCCAGTCAACCAGTCAGGCAGTCAGTCAGTCAGCCAGCCAATCAAGCATTTCACTCGTGAATGTATTTACCCATTAATTCATTACATGTGCGAAATCCACATGGGGGTCGAGGATTCAGCATCTCCGATCTGCCAGTGACAAGTCTTCGCGCGTGAGATCCTGTCGAGTCCAAGCATCTCTTTCCAGAGCATGTCACAACAGAACTTCTCCAGCTCCCTTGTGCGATGATCTCTCTTCCGGATTGCTCCGGTGGCGCTGGTCAAATCAACAAAGATCGGAAAGCTGCCGGCCTCAGGGCCATTTGATGCACATCCGCTAGGACAGTCCGGACGTGCGGAAAAGTATCCCCCAAGTTTGAAGATAGAATCATTGTCTGCAGGAATCAACATGGACAAGAAAAGCAGGGGGGCAGATGACCAAGCAAGATCCGATACCTATCAACTTCTCGGTGTCAGACTTTGCAAGGGTCCTTGACCTGGCAAACAAACAGCGGACAATCCTGGAACGCAAGTCTAAGTAGTCGGTTAGAGTCTTGTCTAATCTAACTTGCGAGAAGCCATGGCGTTCACACCTCGAAAGCCTTGCTCCCAAAATGGGGCGCACAAGCCCATTTCCCGAAATATCTGGGACTGCTTCTTGGCGTGGAACTCCCGAGTAAGCTCGCAAAATCCTTCATGGAGTGACTTTAAAGAAGGCTGCAGCAACAAAAGCTCATAACAATGCTGCTGGCTGATTGACCTGGGTGCTGCTCTCTTCTTGCAAAGTGTCTAGTTGCCACGCCATTTCGACATTTCGGCCGAGCTGCCTTTTCGACAACCTCCTTCAGCCAATCTCTCACAAGACCCTGCAGCTTCATCCCTGCGGGCCGCAACCTCTTGTTCACCAGGGAGTCGATGTCATCTACCTGGAGATCCAGCAGTTGGTTCATGATGACGTGTTAACGGCCTTTCCCAGGATACACAATATGTGATACGTACAATATGTAGAAATGTGTATGAATAAAATTATATATATATATGATAATTATTATAATATGATGTGTGACGTATGCTTCGTGTGCATGCAATGTGGGGTCACAAGTTCAACTAGTCTTTTAGCCTCTGGCATTCCTGCAAGCCTGAGTCCGGCAGTTGGGCAAAAAAAAACATTTGCTTCCTCCATCCAACCTGCATGTATGGAGTTCAAAACCAATGGTACCATTTTGGGGTAGGTGCACCACCCATTCTAGTCTATTTTAGTGGGGATTGGGATGTTCACTGGGGGTAACCCATGGCCACATGTATGGAGTTCAAGACCCACTGTGCCTGCAGCGCTGTGGTTCCACGCAAAGAGTCCACCACCAGGTCTGTCGTGGCCAGGAGGTCTTTGGGAGTCAGCTTCTCCTCCTGAGAGATGTAGCATTGCATTGAAATACTTTAGTGGGCCAGCAACCGCGGCAATGGGCGATTCAAGCTCAGCAGGTTTTGTTCTCCCGCTGAGTACATAAGGCTTGCCACCGGATTGCAATCTGTCACATGGTTCCATTGAGTGGTTGCCAGAAAGATCGGGACAGCAAACTGTGGGCTGCCAAAGAAGCCCCTGCAAAGATCACAACAACCCCCAGCAAGCAGCTCCAGGGCAAGACCGCAATACCCTCGGCATGATAGCTGCCGCACAAGTCTGCGCACAAAGCAATGGGGACCCAAGCAGGAGTGCACAAGCGTCTCCTTGTAGAAGATAGACGTTCCCCCCTTAACTCTGGCAACAACGCTGGTGCAATGTTTCATCTTTGTTGGTTGCGTCCACCCAAACGCCTGAAAATGCTTCTGTCCGAGGTGCTGTGAGCCTCAACCCTAGGCGCTCGTTCAGGCGCCGGCGGCCTAGAGGCCCTACACGGCTGCCTAGCGACCAACTGGTCCTTGGTGTGCACCAAACGCAAAGCAGCAACGGCAAAAGAACTTAAGGATAACTGAGCTGACACATCAGAGCTTCTGAAATTAGTGAAAGCAACCCTTTCCGTGGGACCACAAACGAGGAGAGAGAGAAAGGAAGAGAGAGAGAGAGAGAGAGAGAGAGAGAGAGAGAGAGAGAGAGAGAGAGAGAGAGAGAGAGAGAGAGAGAGAGGGGGGGGGACATAGGAAGCGCAATGACAAAAGTGGATTCGGTAAAATTGAAAAAGTGAAGTGTATTCATCTGTATTTGTCTATATAAGTGTGTATAAGGTGTATGTATGTATATATATATATATATATGTTTGTGTGTATATAGGTACAGATGTGTGTTTTGTCGTGCGCATATTCTCTATACTACACACATCCATATATGCATGTATGTGAAGGTGTTCAGTGACTCGTCTCAAAGATGCGAGAATTGTCGTCAGCATGGACAAATGGATCCAGTACAACTAGACCCAAGCATCAAGGTAAAAGTGGCAAACGTCCCTAAAACAGATCCCAACAAACAAGAGCTGTTGAATTGAGGGCTGCACTCAATGGACCCATTGGCTA